TGGAGAATTTATTATTATTTTCATCAGCGATAAGAAAAATTTCCAAAGCAGTTAAAAAAGCTAATTCTGGTCAGTCAGGAAGTAAAGCTATTAACAAAACCTAAGCACATTTCAAACTACAAGCTACTGAAAATACAAAATCAAAATCTCTAAACACCTCATCAGTCCCGTCCTGCTGTAGGTATAAAGCAGGTTAATTAATATTTCTTTAACTAAATATCGGCGAAACCTCGCAAAGTTTAATTAATGTTGTGGTCAGAATACTACAGCAGAATGCCACCAAACAGGCGATGTCCGACGAAAAAGGGATTCAAAAGGTTACCCAAGGTTAATTATTAATTCAAAATTATAACAAAGCCTTGAATTACAGGACGGACGAGATTATACAAGCGATCATAATAATGTGTAACGAATTCCCACGTGAGTCACTGATAAAGGAGAACAATTAAAATGATAAACAATGTAACATTAGGCAGGTGTATCGATGTACAGAATATATGCAGAAGTTCCATTACATGTTTTTTTCAACACCAAATAAGTTACAAGTTCGTTGACGACCTCTTTCGCGGGCGTTTGGGGTTTCAGTAACCTCACACACATGGCGAATCAACGCAAGCCATATCACTCCGGTCATGCTGGCCCATTCATACTAAATCATGGCTCTCCCACGAGAAAGACTACTGATAATTTAAAATTAATCTCTAAAAAACAGGCAGGTTTTTCGATATCAATCAAAATCGACAGATAGGCAACATTAGTCGCCTGCCTTTGTTAATTTAAATGTTAGAAACTCAATGAAATCCGGTATCCGTAGTTTTGTAGCTACGTGCGCCCACAAACAAGAATCCTTACCTCGGGGCAAACGTTAAAATGTGAGCTTTCTACAAAATTAGTGTTCTGCTCCTGCTAAACCGAGAAATATTTGCATTGCAAAACCGCAACTGCATGCGGGCAGGGAAACGGAAAAATATAGTGGATTATATCCTTGTCGAGAAAATAAAATAGGAAAAGTAAGGAATTCTCGCTGATTCTTTAAAATCAGTTGAACCTAGATGAGTTCGGATATTCGGAATTTCTCAACAGACTATAATCGGAAAAGAAACACAGAAACAGAATTTAGAGATGAGTCCTTTTGTTTCCTTTTCGAATCCAGACATTTAGGACTTTAGAAGGCATTTTTTATGGGACAAGCCCGCCACAACCTACCAAAACCGCTGCAACTCCTTTAAGCCAGGATCTACAATAGATACAACCATAAAAACACCAGAATACTGAAATCCGGCGCGAATCAGGGACATGAATAACTGTCTTGGATCTCGGAACGACATAGATCAGACGATATCAATGATTAGAGGAATTTAAAAGGCATATGAAGACTGCAAGTTTCTCTGCACTGGATTATTGAAGAAGATAACACTGAACCAAAGGACCAATTAAGTAAATATCCATCAATTAAACTACCTATGTGTAATTGTCTATCAAATGGAAGCAGTGGTAAGTCTCATTGGTCACTTGGAATAATAAACTTTATTATGAGTGCTGTAAGGTTGTTGGACATACCGACGAAGACGTCAAACGGTCCCTTGGGTGTTACATGGCGGTCTTGATGAACTCCGACGTGAGTAATCCGGTATACACTGATTATGTATTCATTCCTTTTTGGAAATTTATTTCAGATTAGAACCAATAAGGTTCAAGATATTTTGAATCTTTATAATAAAGATTTCTAATTGGTCTACTCTTTCGAGACAAATACCAAACACCACTTGTAATTCAAACATGATTTCATACTCATTCTGTTAGTGTTGAAAATTTACATAAAAATCACATATTTTATTCCCAATGCGTGCCACAAAAATTTAAGACAAGCATTTTCAAAATTTGGAATGAATTTGTCGCACAAACCTTACCACAAGAATTCAGACGAAATTCGAATAAAAATGAAGGCCTTTTTTTAAGGGGGCAAAATCATCGAATGACCTTTCCCGCACGGGTGCGGTGGGAGGGAGTGTCAGACTCTTACTGAATAAAAATCACCCCGTTCCTACTCCTGCACTTCAAGCCGGAGCCCCGGTAACCCGTAAAATTCTCCGCGGCTCCGAATCGGCTTCAGCTCTATTGGGCCCCAACCTTCTGATGGCTCTTTGAGGCACGCGTGGAACATGACGCGCCTTACACTCGGGAAAAATTAAAGCTTATGATTATCCATTCTTTGATAAACCTGAGCCTTCTAGACTTCGATCTCTAACCAGCCTGCCAAGTAAGTAAGTTAGTCAAGCAATAGAATGTCTTTATAGTTGATTTGTTGATAAATACGGAATAAACCGCGGCAAAAGCTAGCAATTAATATGAAACAAACTAAAATAAACCTTCTGCAATTAAATTGTATAGGATGTGCTACAAAGGTCACTTCAATAAACACTAGATAACAGTATTTGATTACAAAGTATTTGTTTACACTGGGATACTGTGAACAACTTGTGCAAGGGGAACATACCGCACTATGTATGTTTGTCATTCGGCCTTATGGGTACATTGTTTGCAAGAGGATTAAGTATCATGTGCCCTCCCTGGTACACATAAACACACACTGAACTTACCGTGAAATACGACTCATAGATACAGAACACAGAAACATCGGAATAAGTATCCGAAAATTTGATATGATAAACGAAAATCACAACTGGCACCAAACATTAGCTATAAAAAACTCAACAATAACACTTAACACGAAATCCTTTCAAAAATATGATGACAAAAATAATTGACTCATTTTAATTCAGAGAGAAGAGCCACGCTTTTTTGTTTTCAATGGGTATTAATTACAAGTGAATGCACCATTATTAGCTCGAAGATAAATAAAATGAGACATGCTTTTAAATATGAATAGTTAGGTTGAAATGAAAGAGAGAACAATGACACGTGTTATTTGTAATAGGCAGGCAAAGTAGCAGATGGGTTGCCCGATGGTAAGCAATCGGGCGGCGCCGACTATGGACACTCGCAATACTAGCGCAGTTAACTTAAACTGCATTGCCGGCCTTTTAGGGCCTGGGGATAGGGCGTCCAGGAACTACACTCACATGACTAAACAATATGCAATCGTTGTTTCACACCGGAGTACTGTGAGGCCATAGTATTACTATGGTCTAATCTTTTATACATATTTGTCTGGACTTTAAAAGAGAGGGACCTCTGAGTTTGTTTCGGCATTTCTTCTCAGAGTAGTCAGTTAGGAAATATCGGCCTCATCCTCGATAAAATTGACGTGTAAAAGTGCTGCCTTGTATAGCCTATTTGCAGAAATGTGCAAATTAAAAAAAAAATTAAATTAAAAACCAAAATCGAACCGGCTCATTTGTGCCGAAGCCTGGCTCTCCTACACTAAAAATTCATTTACTCTGCCTCACTGTTACATGAGATGCTAATACTTAAATTGTCCATTCCGCTGAGTTTCTTCAGGGAATATAAGATGGAATGTTCTTATATAAAAACATAAGAATAACAAGTAAACACATTAATTTATGCACCGCAAATGAACATAAAACTATTCATAGAAACAGGTGCATATCTGTTTATTACAATTTTACTACGGACAAACGGGTTTTGATGATATTCTTGTTATGTTTGTACTTATTCGGATATTAACTTTTGAATAAATTATATCTTGCAGATACTAGTCTGCGTGACTATTATATTTAAGTATCAATTCAAAATAGTTTATGAACTATTTTGCGTTGGTAATTAAGCGTTGTAATCCTATAAGACATCAAATTATCAATGACTTAGACTGATATGGGCTTAATCAGACATCGTGAAGCAGGCTCTAAATCTAATAAGAATCTAACTCAATCATATAAATTCGTTAAGATTTATGTCTACAGAGAAATCAAAGATCATCTCAAAGAATTTAGATTATAGTTGCCAAAATACAGAATTTTTATTTGAGTGATATAAAACCATCAAAACAGATAACTACCCAAACCAAACATTTAACATTTCGAAATAAACCTGTCAATCAAATATGAACCATAATCTTATCAAAAAACAAGATAAATTATTATACAGCACACATTGTAAAATTATTGTAAGCCACTTCAAATTGAATGACATGCGTTTGTGTGGGTAAACAGGTGTAAACGGAGAATTGAATAGTTGTGAGATTGTCTCACAGTAAACAATGCATTGTACCCGTACAAATTGCTTACAAGATTGGACATAGAATTTTTTATGCATTTACTACCAACCTAGTACTATATTGTTTAAATGCATAGTGAATGGGTTTATTTTCTTATTTCCATTTTGAGATCTCCATGGGTTTTATCTTAGATATCAATGACATGTTTTTGAGATAATTTTTTTAGTTCAGTTATTTATTGATTGATTTAGTTCTAGAACGTTTTAAGTACATTTTTATTTTATTCTGGAGATATTTTATAGGGTTTTATGCAGAGAAAATTATGTTTTCTGAATTATCTAAACAGTGTTTTGTTATAATTTCTTCGTAATATGTAGTTGAAGAACTTGTAAATTATGTGTTTTACGATAACCGCGACAGCTTCACGAGCGCATGTACTAGGCAAGCATGCGGCCTAAGGAGACCAGTCGACTATGAAATATGTTCGATATATAAATAGGCTAAGACCGCACGACCTTAACGTCGAGGTAAAAGCACTCTATCGTATGCAATCGATGTGCAATTGCCCGTTAAAGCGTAAATGGAGTACGACAGAGGCGATAATTCATTTAACTCGTAATCGTTTTCCACGCTTCCCAATATTTACGATCTGTTAATTAATTGTTTACCGCCAAAATTTAATTTCGAGTTTGTTGAGGTGGTCCTTCGAAGGAAAACTTAAAATATCCCTTCGCATTGGCAAAATGCATCCCCTCCCTAAAAATAATGTGTCCGTGAAACCGAATTTTTACAAATTCGCGAACATGGCAGCGGGTGTACTGTATTGAAATAAATAGTCAAAATTATATTGATTCTAACTTACCCCATTGTTTCTTTTCCTGCTGTCATTTAAACACAATAATTTTAGAAAATATTTTACTTCATAATTTTCAATTTTTCACTCACGAACTGTCACAAGCGGCGATCTTCCATAAACTAAAGAATGTTACAATGTTGCCGTACTACAAAAACTTGTATTGAAAAAGAAATTTTTGTCTATACTAATATAAAAAAAAACCTTTTTTAATAATATTCACTCTATAGAACTATTACATACATAGAACGAAATAACAGCTAAACTTTGCTATAAATAATAAAAAATATCTGTTAAACAATTTGTTCATAACACTGACATCTATTAACATCAAATCAAAATAGTCGTACGTTATTCAACTACTCAACACGAGATGGCGCTTTGGTGAAGTTGAAGTTTTTAATCTGGCTTCTGAATACTAGGTGGCACAAGAAATGGAATTAGAAATTAATTTAAGTTTTATTGTCATCTGTGTAAAAATGTTTTTTTAGACATTACTCGTAGATTTGATGATAAAATACGAATGGCCGAACATTATTTAATCAAATTCATTTTTTGTTTGAAATGGATTTATCGTAAAACTTGTATCGAGACTATCAGACGGGTCGAGTGGTTTGATGTATGACAGTCGAGCATCCAACTTCGAGCTCGATTCCCGGGTCAGGTAAAAAAGTAGAATATTACTAGAGATATTCCGGTTTTTAAACTATTCTCAAATAGTTGAGAAAACCTGTTTCACCATTGTAATCGTGAAATTTTATGTCAGTCAGCGCTGCAGTTTATGCAAATAGAATTGCATAGAAAAGCCAGTCTTCCGCTTACGCCACTGACCACGAAACGAATTATTTTATTGTTTTAACATTAAATTAGAATTTGCTTATCAAATGAGTTTGTACTAGTTGTTGCCCGCGGCGTTTGCCCACGTTATATTGTAATATCTACTTAGTTATGTGTCAAAAAAGTGTAGGTGGCAGGTATCTGCTTATTTCAAATTGTTTTAATTGGTATCATAGCATTGCACTGCGAAATCTATTTCGTTTTCGTCTCGAACTAAAATGGTTCTGAGCCAAATGTCATTTAGCGCTTGTCTACGTGTAGAATAGAAAACCAAATTATATGGAATTGACGTAAATTTTGACACTTGTCAGTGTCATCCCCATACATTTATTTTTCTACTCTCTCTGTAGACAAGCGCAAAAGTGGCGTTTGGCTAAAGGCACAGAGTATAAAACAAAGTCGCTATTCGCCGTCTGTCTGTCCCTATGTACCTATGCTTAGATCTGTAAAACTACGCAACGGATTTTGATGCGGTTTTTTTAATAGATAGAGTGATTCTTAAAGTAGATTTATATGTATAATACATGCATATTGCACGCATGCGAAGCCGGAGCGGGTCGCTAGTACTGTATAGAAAAGAAATAAAATGTTTAAAACAAAAAATAACTGGTAACCATTGCTAAAAGCAAACTTCCAAAGCGCATACGAACTCATAGTACATTATCAAAACATTACGCCATGTAATTCTCGAAAAGGTATTTCCCGTCGCGTGGCACGTGCGATGCGAATAGTGCCTACAAATTTACGTCTTTTTTTTATGGGGGGAAAATCATCGAATGACTGCTCCCGCCTGGGTGAGGCGGAAGGGAGTGTCAGACTCTTACTGACTAAAAACCACCCCGTTCCTTCTCCTGCACGTCGAGCCGGAGCCCCGGTTACCCGTTAGGTTCTCCGCGACAGATTTCACGGTGTAGGTACTTACTTACAAACTTGTGCAGGTATCGACAACCTAATTTCTAGGTAGCTAGTAAGGAGATGCAGTAGCTGAGTAACCGACAGCTCCGCCCTTGTCGCGGGTTTGGTATTGAAGGTGATAAGTAGATATGCGAACAATGTATGTTTGTAAACGACGACCGAGGAGAAATTCCTTACGCGTAGACAAAGTAATTACAAATTAGCTTGTAGAATTTTAATTACTCACTAAAAAAATACGTTTATACTTCATGGCCGAGTGGTCGTAAGTGCGACTGCCGGGCAAGGGGTCTCAGGTTCGATTCCCGGGTCGGGCAAAGTATTACTGGGTTTTTAAAAAATTCTCAGTAGTAGCACGGAATTGTGTCCGGTATATGGCAATAGGCTCACCCCCTATTACATGGGACTCATAACATGAATAGTGAAAAGTGGGTGTTACATTGTACAGTGGCATAATGTGCACCTCTGCCTACCCCTTCGGGGATAAAAGGCGTGATGTAATGTTATGTTATGTTACTTCATAAATGAAAAGTTGGAAACTGCAGCTCTTTAGTTTAGCTAACAAACAGACAGTTCCTTGTAATTTCCACAATTTATATAGATAAATCTATTTGTAAGTAGTAGCGTATTGCTCTGTGGTTAACGGTAACCAGTGTCAATTAGAGTAACTGTCTATCGATCTGCGAAATGCGAATTACAAATACAATTGTGTGTAGTATAGAAAGTGTTGAAGATTTTATCAGTCGTCGTGTACTTGTGTCATTGTTTATCACTCCATCATAGGTCTGTGAAACTATCGAATGTATTTCTGTCGGCTTTTCAATATCCATCGTCTTTGTCAGTTGGAAGGGGTTCATCATCAACAGCCTATAAATGCCCACTGCTGTGCAAAGCCTCTTCTCACACGGAGAAGGTTTGAGCATTAATCACCACGCTTACTCAATGCGGGTTGGCGATTACAAACTTATAATTAGAAATTATAAGCCCAGGTTTACTCACGATGTTTTCCTTCACCGTTTGTCAGTGGTGTCTAAATAATCTTAGAAAGTACATATAACTCGGATAAAGTCACATTGGTACTTGCCGTTGGTAGGTTTCGAACTCGCACCCTCATGCATGAGAAGCGGGCCTCTTAAACCTCCGGGCCACCACGACACAGGGGTTCACTGCTGAATAAAGGCACACAAAGGTCTCTCTCTGTTTCATCTGAAAAATGCATGTTACCATTTACCAAAATTATTAGATGTCTGGAGCTGCAGAGGCAAAAAACATAACGAGTTTTTTATGGGATACACAAGACGGATCACGCGATGGTTAACAATCGGCATCGCCCATGAACACCTGGAACTCTAGAGGTGTTACAAGTGCGTTACCGGCATTTTGGGGATTAGGAATTTGAGGATTGTTGGCGATTGGGGTGATTGGGTTGCCGGGGTTTCGGCTCCAGCAGAAGTAGGAACGGGGTGGTTTTTAGTCAGTAAAAGTCTGACACTCCCTATCGCCTCACCAAAGGCGGGAGCAGTCATTATAGATGATTTTCCCCCTCAAAAGAAAAGTTATTAGGTGTATCTTATTTATTTATTTTTATTTTATTTATTTATGTACACACATACAACATAAAGGACAGGACAACACATATATAAAATTAAAGTACAAAGGTACCACCTATTCCAATTGGAATTTCTTCCTGTGGACCTGGGGCAGCTATCTTAAACAAGATTAGACGAATTGCATTTGTCTTTCACTCGAACGCTTGAGATTAAACTATAAAAGTAAAGGTATTGCCGTTTGTTACATAAAGTAAATAACATGGTGTTACATCATCAGATACACATTCTTTGACAAGACTAGTTTTTGTTGTTGCTTATTTTCATCATGACTTTGACTGTAATATAGTTTATATGCGTTTTTTAAGGGGCGAAAATCATTGAGTGGCTTCTTACTGACTAAAAACCACCCCGTTCCTGCCCCTGCACTTCGAGCCGGAGCCCAAGTAACCGTTTATGTTCTCTGCTGCTCCGTGTCCGGCATCAGCGTTATTGGGCCACATCTGTGGTGGTCTGATGGCTCTTTGAGGCGCGCGGAACGAAAAGCCCCGTACCTACAGGTCTGGTTCTGGACGGTCGGCAAGTAAAACATGCTCGCCGTCGTGGACGGAAAGGCCGTGACAGACGGATTATTGTCCTCCTCTTTGCTTTCCTTCTAGGCTTTGTCATCAGGTTCGAGATTACAGTTCAAAACGGTTTACAGGTTTATTCTATCAGATAACACTGCTGTCTACTCTCAGTCAAATATGTAGTCCTTATCTGGGGATATATGTAGTCCTTCAGTCGACTCATTCTTACAATATTCGTAAAGAATAGTTTAGGTACTAACTAAAGTAATTCCTCTTATAATAATTACAAATAATTAATTCATAAACCACGTTTAAAAACCGACTTTAACCTCTTCACCTCTTCTTTCGAAGTCGATTAATTAATATAACAACCTTCTCCTAAGTGTAACAAACGCTTTTTTTGATACTCACATCAAAATCGGTACAGCCAATTGCGAGATAGTAGCACACAAACATTTTCCTCCTTATCTCCTTCTTATTTTGAAGTCGGTTAAGAACGTAAAACAAAACACCAACACAGCGTAAAAACTAACTACCAAACAAAACCAGTTCCGAACACTCGCATAATAGCAACTAAAACACATCAAATTAAACATTATAAAAATTAAACTCACACGTTTAGCTAACGCATTCTATTCTGTATTAATAACTAACTACAAATAGCTATTAAACTTTATGGGGCTATCTTCAATCTATAGTGTAAAGAGGTGAGCAGAACTCCGTCCCTTTGTTCTGAGTGAAAGTAAGAGTTATATAAAAAACTGTAGCAACCGTTGCTTGCATGGTGACTGTTAAGGGCATGCGCTACTGATGGCTATTTAATATTTCTTTTGTTTGTAATTGTATCCCATGACAGCTCATATTTAGGACCCACTTAGTTGGGTGCCTGGCGACTGGGTGTCTCCCAGTTACACAGTCTCTTTATGTGCCTTTAGGCTTAATTCATTCTGTCTTCTGCAGTAAGTCACCGATGGAAGTGGAAACTATTGTTTTTTTTTCTTCTTATAATATCTTCTGATTCATTTCGTTGCGGGAACCAAGACAGTTATTCATGTCCCTGGGACGCGCCGGACTTCAGTGTTCCGGTGTTTTCATGGTTGTATCTACTGTAGATCCTGGCTTACAGGAGTTGCATCGGCTTTGACAGGGTGTAGTGGGCTTGTGAAAAAATCTATGACATGAGTTTTTACTTTAATAATCCTCGACAGAGAGAAAATGTTTTTTTTCTTACTCTATGTACACCTGTTTAATACCTGTATGTATGTTCCTGTACCTTTTGTT